TGGTGTTGATAGCCCTATAAATTCTGGCGTAGCCAAAGTATAGACGGTACCTAGAGACAACACGGATTTATCATCGTCATTTTATCCATCTATTCTACCCCAAGGTGAATATCCCCTGCCAAAATCATTGAAAATCAGACAGACATCCACTTTTCCTCTTGTCCCCCAAATGCCAGGACTCCTTGTACTACATGCTACTCCGAGCGCCGAAATCATCTTCTTTGTTAAATACTCTAGTAGCTCCTGCCAAACATGACCCATTTCTGTGCTTTGCCGGAGCATTCCGGGTTCAAGCAGGCAGTTTCGCCAGGGACAAGCTCGGTCCCTTGGGGCTGCTCAAAGGGGATGCAAAGACTCTTCATGCCCATGGAAGGGACCTTTTGATTCTCAGGGACATCTCGATTGTCATCCGCGCGCGTGGTCAGTTCCTTGATGCGGTCCTCACACTTGCCATCCAGACAGAAAGGAATAAGGACAACGTTCTTTTCATCAAGGGCGGGAAGCACGTCTTCCCACTTGGTGATCTTTTTGCGGTGCTCGGCGAAGGAGGACTCCGCTTTCTTGTACATGTCCGCTTGGATAGTCTCCAAGAGCTCAGGGATCTTGGTCGCAATGTCGGCGATAGGGATGGTTCCTTTCTCACCAGTGTCGCGCCGAGCAAAGGAAACAACCTCCTTGGCGGCATCCTTGGGTCCAAACTCCAATCGCACTGGAACGCCCTTCATCTCCCAGTCGTTGAACTTCCAGGCTGGGGTGTAGCCCTCTCTCCAATCTGACTGCGTGCGAACACCAGCCTTTTTCAGAGTTGCACGCATATCCTCAATCTGATCTTCATGCTTCTGTCTGTCCTCAGGAGTGGTATTCTTGTTTATACCAACAGGGATAAAAATGGCTTGGGTCTGGGCGACACGAGGAGGAAGAACAAGACCCTTGTCATCACCATGCACCATGACCATTACACCAATGACTCGGGTGGACAGGCCCCAAGAGTTTTGCCACACATGAACGTGCTGACCCTTGTTGTGAGGGTCTTCGACTGTGATTTCGAACATTTTGCTGAAGTTTTGTCCCAAACAATGGGACGTACCTCCCTGAATACCTCTACCGTTGGAAGGAATGTATCCCTCGACGGTTGTAGTATAATATCCTCCAGCAAACTTCTCGTTCTCAGTCTTTCTGCCCCGGACTACAGGCACGGCTAGAAGCTGCTCGTACACACCTGCGTACAGCTCCAAAATTTCCAGTACTTCTTCCCCTGCCAATTCTTCAGTCAGATGGGCAGTGTGGCCTTCTTGCCATAAGAATTCTCGAGTTCGGAGGAACGGGGTGGTCTGCTTAGCTTCCCAGCGCACGACCGAGTTCCACTGGTTCAGTCGGAGGGGAAGGTCTCGGTGGCTGCGAATCCATTTTGCGTAGTAAGGATACATGACAGCCTCGGAAGTTGGACGAATGGCGACAGGAACATCGAGCTTTTTGTCACCACTATATGTTTGTTAGCGACTGCAGAACACGTCTCTAGTCGTTGGCAAGTTCAATCCAATACGTACGCTCTCTCAACCCAAGCAAGCTCAGGCGCGAAGCCATCGACGTGGTCTTTCTCCTTGTCGAGCGACGTCTTGGAAAGGAAGAGAGGAAAGCTAGCTTCTTCCACACCAAGTTCTTCGATATGGCCCGAGAACCATTTGCGGATGGTGCTCCAGATGTGCATAGACAAAGGACGCAGAACAAAAAAACCCGAAATTTCATGGTAGTATTCGACCATTTCGGCCTTAAGGACTACCTCTTGATACCATGCCGAGAAGTTCTCAGCCTTGGAATGAGTAATTCCAATAATCTCGTCCGCCTTCTTGCCTCCAACAACGGGAAGAGAGGCTTTCTTTGCAGCCTTTGCAGCCTTTTCGGCAGCCAGCTTGGCCTGCTTCTCAGCCTTCTTCAAGGCGCTTTTCGACTGTTCAGCGGGGAGGTCCATGTCTTGCGAGAACAGCAGGGTGGCGGGAAATTGGCAACTACCGTGATAATCGTAATGAATTAAAAATTGCCAATGAATGAACCACTTCGATTCTCCCGAGGAAATAAAACAACGATAGAAGCACAAGCGTGGGCGAAGGCAGGTTCTTTTTGGCTAGTGTTGCTTGGGGAAGGAAAGGATAAGGGATTCTGAGTGACTCTTGCCGTGGTCGTCGGAGCAGCATCGGGGTCAATGTGCCCCGCGACGCTTGCCTTTCTTTTTTTTCCCTTCGTTGGAAGGAGGGGCACTTTGGGGCACCATTCAAAATTTCAGGCCACACGTGCGCTGTCCAATCGGGGCGTTGGGCTTCGCCCCTTCTGTCGTAGTTGGTCAGGCCTGGACACAGGAAGAACGCAGGTCGCGGCTGCCTCCCCGGCCCCTGCGCCACTACTAACAAGCAGACTAGTGTTGCACACTGATGTGAGGGCACATCCTGGCCGTGGTTGCCCTGTGGCCACTTGCCATCTCGGAGCCGGAACAATCCTGCTTCCGGATAAAAAAGTCGAGGGGCAGCAGACGGAGATGTACTGAAGCTTAGTAGCTCGTGCTGGCTCCAGGACACAACCTGCAGGCAGAAATTCAATCCGCGATAACCACAACTGCCAGCTCCAAACCACGCATACTGCCCGAAAAAACTGGACAGCCACGGAAATGGCGTCTATGTTCGAGCAACCCAGGAACGGCACCCTTTTTCTGGGCGGCCAGAAGATATCAGGGTCCGACATTCGTGATCAGAACGGTAAGGCCCCTTGACACCTCGGTGGGGTGGCCGTCGACCATGTTCTTTGCTAATCTTTGGTCCAGTCCTCGCTACCCAAGCAATCGCAAATGTTGTCAAAAGCTCCTTCGGCCCTAGTGGTTTGGATAAGATGATGGTGGACGACATTGGTGTAAGAGTTGTCTTATTCGACCATTATGCGCCGTTGAACATACCCCTCACATACCCGTAGGACGTTACAGTTACCAACGACGGCGCCACCATCCTTAGCCTTCTCGATGTCGAAGATCCCGCCGGAAAGATTCTCGTCGACTTAGCACAGCAACAAGACAAGGAAGTTGGCGATGGCACCACGTCAGTTGTTCTCATTGCAGCCGAGTTACTGCGACGAGGGAATGAGCTTATGAAGAACCGTATACACCCCACAACGATAATCACCGGCTACAGGCTGGCTCTCCGAGAAGCTGTAAAATATCTCAACGAGAATGTCAGCATCAAGGTCGAAAATCTCGGACGCGAGTCCCTCATCAGCATTGCCAAGACATCCATGTCTAGCAAAATTATTGGCGCCGACTCTGATTTCTTTGCCGACATGGTCGTTGACGCTATGCAGGCAGTCAAGACCACCAACAACAGAAACGAGACAAAGTACCCCGTCAAAGCCGTCAACATTCTGAAGGCTCACGGAAAGGGTACTCGCGAATCGATGCTAATTAAGGGCTACGCCCTGAATTGCACCGTTGCTTCTCAGGCGATGCCCACTCGAATCCAGGATGCTAAAATTGCCATTTTGGATATGAACCTGCAAAAAGAAAGAATGAAGATGGGGGTTCAGATCACTGTTGACGACCCTCAACAATTAGAACAGATCCGGGCCCGCGAGTCTGGCATGATTCTTGAGAGAGTCGAGATGATTCTCAAGGCTGGAGCCAACGTCATTCTCACTACCAAGGGCATTGACGACCTTGTACTCAAGATGTTTGTCGAACGCGGTGCTATGGGTGTCAGAAGGTGCAAAAAGGAGGACCTGCGACGGATTGCCAAGGCTACTGGCGGTACCCTCTTGAGCACGCTATCTGACCTCAATGGTGACGAAAAGTACGAACCCTCGTACCTTGGCCATGCTGATGAAGTCAGCCAGGAGCGCATCTCCGATGACGAGTGCATCCTGATCAAAGGAACCAAGGCTCACTCATCTTCGTCGATTGTTTTGCGTGGTCCCAATGACTACTCCCTCGACGAGATGGAGCGCTCAGTACATGACTCCCTGTGCGCCGTGAAGCGGACCCTAGAAAGCGGCAGCATTGTTCCTGGTGGCGGTGCCGTGGAAACCGCTCTGCACATTTACCTGGAAGAATTTGCCGGCACCGTCGGATCCCGCGAGCAGCTCGCCATCGGCGAATTCGCCCAGTCCCTGCTCATCATTCCCAAAACCTTGGCCGTCAACGCTGCCAAGGACGGAGCCGAGCTCGTTGCCCAGCTTCGATCACGGCACGCCCTGTCACAACGTATCCAAGAAGGCGACGGCAGCGAGGATGAAAAGACCATTGCCAGAAAGAAAGGCTACAAGAACTACGGTCTGGACCTGATGCGTGGTAAGGTTGTGGATGAGCTGAAGCAAGGTGTTTTGGAGCCTAGCATCAGCAAGGTGCGACAGCTGAAGAGTGCCGTAGAGGCTTGCATCAGCATCATGAGAATTGATACCCTGATCAAGTTGGATCCAGAGCAGCAGGCAGAGGATGATGGCCACGGTCATTAAAGGGACAAAAAAATTGGGTGGGCTGGCAATGGAAAGTGGGATATTCGGTTGTAATTAGATTATTCGCCCTAAATCTGAAGAAAAATATTCGGAACATCCCGCGTATTGAGTTGTCCGCAAGTGTCGTTCTTGTGGTAAGTGATGCAAGTTGCAGGTTGGGGGAATCACATGCAGGACATGTGGCAGTATTTGCTTCTACTACAGATAGCAGCTGACACCCACATGCAATTTAGGGTGCATAGGGTCCAGTGTCCGGATGTGAGGCGACGAAAGTAAAGGAACATATGGAATTATTTCGTAGTACGTTGTATTTTATACAAAGCCTGTAGCTCACGTCTAAGAAACAGGAGTGTCGCCTCATTCGGACATGGCAGCTTCATCATACCAACGGTCCTTTTCCCTACTACTCCTCGTCTCCGTCTCCTCGTCCACATTCCCACCGCAACATTTTAACAATAATTTCTATTTGTCGGATCGCTCGAGACTAGCCCTACTCATACACCAGGTTCAACCACTTAACCGACGACCAGCTTGCCTTCCTCGGGGAAGTCGTATTCGGGGATCTCGAGGTTTAGGGGCGCAGGGCCCTTTCTTATCCGGCCAGAGATATCGTAGTGGGAGCCGTGGCAGGGGCAGAACCAGCCGCCGAAATCGCCGGCCTCACCGATGGGCACACAACCCAGGTGGGTGCAAACACCTAAAGCCACAGTTAGTATGAGTGTTTATGTGCCGCGGTCAACAAGATGGTAGTCTCGGTAGCGACTATCGAGACTGCACCTGGTTGAACCCGTAACCAGGACCCTCGTACCCAACATCACAAGCCACTCGGGCTGTTTGACACGCTCATCATCGGTCTGGGGGTCTCGCAAGCTAGCGACGTTGACCTTGTTGGCCTGGTCGATTTCGTCCTGAGTTCGGTGTCGGATGAAGACGGGCTTGCCACGCCACTTGATAATGACCTGAAACGATCATGTTAGATTAATTGGCAGGTCAATTGGCATCGTCGTCTCGTGGAGGTCGACTCACGTTCTTGCCTTCGGGAATGGCGTTCAGGTCCACCTCGACCTTGGCCATGGCCAAGACATCAGCGGAAGCGGACATGTTGACAAGGAATTCTGCCCCAAGAGCATCAGCATCATCCATTGAAGCATTCCCCCATCCAATTGCACATCCATCGCAGTCACATAAAGCTCAATGGCTCTCCACGCCGCCTCAATGTTGAAAAGAAATAGTCGGCCGGAACATACCCTGAACAGTGCTCTTGGCTCCAGCAGCAGATAGGGCACCCATGGTACCGACCATGAAGTAGGAAAAGAGCTTGTTGTTGCCCTCGCCCTTCTTGGACATGTACTTTCCGAAGTCCGGGATCGAGCTGCCCTTGTCGGATCCCATCTTGAAAGGGCTTTGGTAGGAGGAAGCCGCGCTGTCCGATCGCATGGCGGTGGTGCTGAGAGCGCGCACCGCGGGCATGGCCGGCTTGGCGGCAGAGCGCAGGCATAGCCTAGATGCGGAAGTAAGAGACGCCATCGTGAGGAGGGTTGCTCGGTGCCGGCGACGGAGTGGACGGGGATGCAGAGGTATGAGTTCTTTACTGTGAATTTCGAGGTACACCAGCCGCTAGATGATTTTCAAGGAGTTGCTGCCTGAGGCTACAAAATATCTCGGAAATTGGTGGCTTCTGATTGGATGGGGCGGCCTCTCAGAGCTGCCTTTCCGGGCTCGCCCGGGTATCTGGTCCACGCCAATTGATCGTACCACCCTGCTCACATGCAACGGGCGGGTTGGATGGCCAGGCCAATTCACATGGCAGCATGAGTAAGAATCCTACAATTTATCAAGTCAATGTTTTTCGTCTAATTTCTGCTTCCAAATAAGATGATACATTTGACTTGAGCACGCTGCAGAATTGATACCACTGCACTAAAAAGTCTAAGACCCAGTAGTAAGCTGACGTCTCTGCCAAGATATATTTCCGCTTAGCCGAGTATAGGCAAACATTTCCCAGCTATCATACAATAGCACAACGCACGATAGAAAAGTACTTTATCAGATTTTACCGCCACTTTTTCTCCCACCTTCATCCTCATCCGTATATTACACATGTGTCTATTTGGCATCTTATCATCCAGTGGGATCCATATTTTTAATGCATCCTTCTCAGCTCTTCGATCATATTTCTCATATCTTCAACACTTGGTCCAAGGCCCTCACAGACAAGTTCCTGCTTCGCCTCGTCTAGATCCAGAAACCTTTCTACCATTTCCCCATCTACAAAGCGGAAGGGCCCGTCGCCTTCACGAGCCTTATTCCTGAACGCACGCCAAAGGTTAAAACTGACATTTCCTGGAGCATAAATGTAGTCTTGAAGCCTTGATTGGAAGGTAAGAAGCAAATCTTGATAGTTTGGTGCAATTTCGCCAAACAGATATAGTGTCCCCTCAATCTGTACTAGCATTAGCAGTTGGTTCCAACAGGTGATGATAGTTTCTGATAAACCTACTGAACCAAGGAAGGCCTTGGGGGAGACTACGGCGTTCTCGTTCGATGCCACATGTAATTTCCTGATTTGATTAATCTGTTCCCCAATGTTCATCTCACTGGTGACTTCCAGCTTACTCCGGTCTTGCTCAGTAGGAGCTTCTGGGTTCCGCTGTAAAACGATAATATTCCCCTGGGCATCTGCCTCCAACCACCTCTCCCCATCTAGATGGGCTACGGACGTCGCCCAACCAGGTTGATAATGTCGCGCCGTCTCTTCCAGTTTAGCGCGAGAACCATCTTCGGATGGAATAAACTCTACCAAGGTCAAGGATTGCATTAGATCGACCACTCCAATGATGTTGCCGGAGATGTCTAGGCTCAGAGGAAATGATGCTGGACGATAGGCTGCTAATTTTTGCAAAGAGCCGAATACCGTGGTTTCTTCCACATAATGATACACCACCACAGTCTTAGAAAGTCCAGCCACGATGTGCTCTCCGAGTGTGCCGAGGCATCGGCATGCACCCTTCAGATTGTGAGAGACGATCTGGTAAACTTGACGATTTTCGTCAACACCAAGCACCAGGATTCGTCCGCGAGTATCATTCTCCTCTATGGCATCATCGTCGGTTATGAAACTCGTTCCAATAATGAAGCGCTCTGCGAGATTTCCCATGCTGTCTGGTAGCTCTGCTCGAATAACGGTTTCAACCATTTCCAATGATGTGGAGGTGTTGAAAATGAATGGCTTCCCAAGTTCTTGGAAAATAATTTCGTCAACTATTCTGAATGAGCTTGTTATAACCTCCTCGTTCTGAATAAGCTCTTTTTTGATACAACCAAGCCCAAAAACCTTCAGGGTGGGCGAATATGCAACTCGTCGAACGGTTTCTTTCACCGAGAGTGTCTTGACATGTGTGAGACGTTCCTTATCAATATGGCTAAGTCGTATATGGCTGTCTGTGGAAAGAACAATGGAGTTTGGAAATGCCTCCGAGTCAAAAGGAGCGACATACGTTGCGTCGTCTGCCGTTGTTGCCGAGTATATAATTCTTCCTTCAGCGCTATAAATCAAGCTGGCGTGCTCGGTTGTTGCGAAAACGTTACAAGTTCCATCCTCTTGGGGAAGAACATGCAATCGAGCTGGACTGCTTCCTAGTGTCACGCTCTTCCGGCCTGATATCGTGTACCCTTGTATAGACATATCGAACGTAACAACATTTCCATCTTCCAAAGCAATGAGGAGAGTGGGACCAGAAACTTGGGGTGGGTGCAGTTGCACCAGGGCAATATCTCGTGGTACCGACGCACTATCCTCAGTCTGTCTAAGAGGTTCACCATGCAGAGGCTGTAGTGTAGCGAGATCGACAATCGATATAGTACCCGAAGCCCACCATCCCACCACTCCTATATCAGGAGAATCTCTGGCGGCATGTAGACATGAGATCTGGTCCGGTTGAGTTGAGGATTCATCTCCAGATGTATCCCGCAAGACGGCGGCTAAATTGTCGTGCAGGTTCAACGAAACGAGTAATGAGCCATCGATTGAGAGCAAAGCCCATCCTTTATTTGCCGATGCAGCTGTGATTGCCTTGCCACTGGGGGCATCCCATGAGCACAAATTCACACCACTTTCAGAGTCTAGCAAGACAGCAGATTTAGGAGTTACTTGCAGGAGCTGGCCATCAGATATATTGACAGCCAGCAAAGTCTCCATATCTAAAGTTAAGCCTTGAAAGGCGTAAACTTCTTCTATGCCGCCCGCAGAGTCGAATCTAAGAACCCGTGTGTCTGCAACTGATGATACCACAAGTGTATCCACATGGCTCGATTGGTGAGATCGTAAAGTAAAGAGGCCCTTGGTGTCCTGGATTTCATCAAGGATACCCTGATCTTCAAGACCAACACCGCTCCGAATACTTCGCAGGCTGCCATCATGATACGCACCGCATCCGGCTACAATCCTGGCCTGGCCTGAAGAGAAAGCGTTTCCGAACTGACTGTCACCTTCTCTGTTCCCCATATCCATAATTGCAAAATCCAAGATTGGGGCATTGTTAGATAAAGCTTTGGCCACCACCATGACTTGTGCATCGATATCGATACGAAGCAACTGCGAATCGCCATGGTGGGAAGCCAAGAAGAGCATGTCATTTCCCATATAAACAAGTGACGACGCTCGAGAAGTACAGCCTGATGAGTCAGGGAACCTCATGGGCGAGATCGCCATGCCAGTCACCACGATACCGGTTGATTCAGTAGCAGTTTCGATGGTAAGTATGTCCAATCGTCCGTAGTCGTCGGCTAATAAATAGTGGACGTCGTCATATTCCGTCCATGCTACATATATTTTCGGGTCCTGTAGAGTCGATGAAACCCTCGAGTAGGTGAGGCTGTCGAAGTACGTAATGAGTGTTTCTCCAACCACCAATAATCCTCCCAGGTGCGCCTTTGCCCCTTCGTTATGGCGAACATGGTATCGTTTCTCTTCTCTGAAGGGGACTGGGATAAGCATAGATGCATATGGGTCGGAGATGATTTGATCCAGCTCTCTCTCCCTATGTGGATCGAACCTGGCCACATTGCCGCGACTGTCGTCCTTTGTGAGCCTATATACGGCTATACGAGCCTCTTCTTGGTCGGTTTGAGTCTTGTATAGGAAGGCGATTTTGGGATGTCCGGTTTGGCTGTGCAAGAAAGTGCTAGCTTTCATCCAGAGCTCAGTTAAACGCACTTGATCTAGAGCCTCCAGTTTTGTCGTCATTCCCTTTCGCATAGGAAGACGGAACACATTTAGAACGCCTTCCCAAAGGTGCATAGCCATAAATTTGCCTGTGGGGTCTACCAAACACTTGTTCTGACTCTGAGAATGTCGCATGTACTGTTCGGCAACATCTTCTATGGTTTGCTCGACTGTGTCTAGCTGGTTCGTCTCGGGGTTCCAGGCAACGTTGAAATACTGGAATCGATCGGTACCTATGAAGAGCAAATCGGTTTCGGAATCCTTGGGCTTTAGGCGTTGGAGCATGGATATCGTCCCGTAGATTAGCTTCGTATGAAGACAAGTCATATCCTCGTCGGTAAGGCGCCATATCTCGAGCCGATTAGCTTTCCTGTCATCACCAAAAATCAGTCCAACGGTCCAACCACAAAACATTTGATAACAATCTAGAACCAGGGCAGCTGGGGCAACTCACGCGACTACCAGGTCCTCTACATCTGGGGACAAGAACCTGATGCGCAGAGCATGCCGAATGCTCGTTGGCTTGTGCACCGGCGCAATGTACGACATGGCGAAGTCAAGGCAAGGCGATTTAGGGGTGCACGATTGAAGAGGCTCTCCTCGAGAGCCACACGAAGAACTCCATGTAATGGTGGTGGTGAGGTTGCGCGGGTCGTCGTCATTGGTGATCGGAATTAGGGCGGACATATGGAGGTTCTGGCAAATCTGTCTGGGCGGGCGCTGGAGGCACCTGACTGGAGGTACCTTGACCTGCTGGCACCAGAGTCTGGCCCAGCGTAGGTACCTAGGCTACCCTGTGCTACTTTTGAAATGACTTGCAATTGACTTCAATGTTGACAGCAATGAGCTTAGACCTACAGCTTGGTCGTTCCTGCCTAAAAATCCAACTCAGCCGTGACACCTGGATCACCTGCGGTAATTCAAAATCTCGGGGGCAACCGAATGATAGTAGTGACGAAAATGCCGGCCTCATCTGACTCTGGTTCGTTTGCCTACTGCCCATATTATCTGAGTCCTGAAGTCCTTATTCAGACCCGGGTAGGGGGAACATGAGAAATATTCCAGATGGACAATGTTGAAACCGCGGGTTAATTTGCGAGGCATGAGAATTGTTTTGTTAACCATCGTGGCTACCGTTTCGACATCGGCCATCAATTATCCTCTCTCCAACAAACGACATTTCCCGGCCAGCCTAATTCTCCAGAAGGAAAACACGAGCTTTATGTCGAACCGTTACCTGCTCCAATGCTTGAGCAGAAAGGCCCCCCCAACCGATATCAGCAATTCTTAAACGGCCTGGAAG